ATGTTGGATTGAGTTTGATTTTGAGCCATTCCAAAAAAAAAATCCACCCCCTCCCCCTATGAACAAGCTTGGTAAAATTTGAACTCCCAAGAGAAAAAGAACAAAGTGCCGACGCACACACTCTCTCTGAAATTGGTAAACTTTTGCCTTACCCCTCAGAAAAAAACACTAAGATCAAAGGATGCCGGTGGCCATAACCCCTCAGAAATGGCTTTTGGAACCTCCCCTCAGAAACTCTCATCCATAGGGGAGTGTGGACATTAAGGCCCCAGTTACACAATACCGGATTCGTACCGGAGCAACATCAATTTAAGGTGTTTTCCAGTCTTGTCTGCTATTACAACTTTTCATATATGAAGTTTTTGTTTAATTTAATTATGTTATATTATCATAATTTTAAGTGCCAAATTCACCTTGAAGCAGTAAAATTTGATGTCACTCCGATGTGAATCCGGTATTGTGTAACTGGGGCCTATATAAAATGGCCCTTTGCTTATTAAAATGTTCATCCAACGTTGGACAATGTTGGACTTGTCTTACTGATTTTAATACAAAAAAATACAATACAATACAGACACAGTTCATTGAGATGAATGAGATCCTCAGATCCCCAGTAAGTAATTATGTAAGCAATGTATAGAACAATTTCGTTCTTTAACAATATAAATCCCGTTTTATTGGTCAACACAATTTTAATTCATGAACTGGACTAATTCCACAAAAAAAATAAAAAGGATTTTCAGTTCGATAAAGTGCTATAAACTTATCGGGGATCGTTCAATTGATTCTCATTCATAAGTTAAAACAATTATATATACAATAAATAGTCTTCTCAGCTTAATGTGAGATTAGATTTAAACTATAAGGCTATAACAAACCTTTTCGATCTGGTTTCGTACAACGTTTGACCAATCTCATGGAATCCTTTGCGAATTCTTTACAAGGTTCAAGAGCATTCACAATTTGATCCATTTCGAGTATTTAGTGAATAAGTAGTTTACAACGATCTACAGACAAATAAAACACAAACAGAAATTGCCTGTTACACTAAAAAAAGGACAAAAATCTGGTTAGAAATCCCTAATATTCTTACCTTCGATGTTGTAGTTTTCTGCGTGTTGAACAAAGAGGCTTCTGAAATATTGCATTCTGGGTTTATATGATCGCGGGCTAAAAGCACGAGATTACGTGTCCTTCACGCAGTACTTCATGTAAGTACGACAAACTATTTGATTATTGATCGAGTGAGAACAGATGCCAATAAAATCTTGGGAAAAAATAAAGGAGTCTTTGACTTCCGATTACGGTTGTACTGCTAGTACCGGCATAGCCGGTCAGGACAGAGTCTCTCTCCTCCGCAGAGGCTTTAGTTTTCTTAGGACATTTCACTACACTTTACATGGCGGATAGCCAAACAGAGTTATGATGTGGGCTGTGATGTAGAATTGACTAATTTTAAAATGCTGTGGTGGGTGGTTAGGCCGAGGGAATTAAAGTCAAAGTCCATAGAATACCGTCCTCCGCCCGCATGTCCAAAATGCTGCCGCAAAAAAAATCATTATTGCAAAATGTTTCATTATTTTAAGAATTATCTATACTTTAAACTATAACTCGTCGCAGAAGTCATGTATTAAGGGTAAAGTCTACCTGTACGGCAAAACTCCACTCGTAGGTACTATTCAACGCCATACAAACCGATTATCGACGCAGTCGACAGTGTGACCAGATATTTTGCAAGACAATTACTAAATAAGCATGCAAAAAATTACCAAAACGTAGAAAAAAATATTAAATTTCTGCTGTAAACCAAAGTGGTCTGAAAATCAATAAAACATCTCAGCAAAACAAAATCAGTAAAACATTTTCCATCACTGAAACTATGTTTTCCATGATTTTCTTTCTCACTTGTACCTTTTGATTGCAATTGTGCAAAATGCAAATATGGCGACACGATGATTGGCCCGGGCCCCTGGTCCCTAGCCGAGGGTCCTGAAAGGGGGTTCCCAATCCCATTTCCCACCTGAAATTTTGGCAAAATCCCAGTCCCAGTTGGTTTTTTATTAGAAATCCCAGTCCCAGTTACTGAAATTTTATCGGTACAATAAACAGTTTTAAGACCTTTTAAGCAAGTGGCGGACACGTTATGAAATACGGGGTGTCGTGTATTTAGATTATACTTTTAACAAAATATGAATAATACATAAGCATGGCCGATCTACATATCTAATGCGCATGTCCGTGCGTATGACCGCTGTCCGTCTATATCTATATATCTAACACCATCTCTCCTCTTAAGGAATGTATCATAAAATATTGTTCATGAGTTCACTATTGTGTTCGAACAATTATGCTAACCATAACAGTAAGTAATAAAGCAGTTCTCTATGTAATTTTCTTAAACAGTTTTCGGATCAAACAGTTAAGACCCCACCTCTCGGGTGGTTGGTGTGATCTAGTTGGGTAGCGTTGTTCAGATCCTGTTGTAGCCCTACCGGCTTCTTGTTGTTGCACTACTGGTGGATTCGTGGCTAGTTCGATATCCGGCTCTGCGACAATTTCTTCTGCTGGTGCAATATTCTGGCCAGTCTCTCCGAGCTCTGGATGAGGATCAGCCGTATCATCACTCTGGTCATTTACTTTCACACTCGAGGCTCGAAGCTGGTCGATGTGACGTCGCCAAATTCGATTTGGACCAACTTTTATCTCGTACGAAAGGGGTCCCGTTTGAGCTCGAACTATGCCTGGTAGCCACTTGTCTTTCCCACTGTAGTTACGTGCCATGACAGTCTGACCAATGGATAACTGACGTGTGGGGGAATGTCCTTTTCTCCCCACTTGATCGATTTGCCTGTTCATCACTTTCCTTTGTAAATCAGGTTTCACCAAATCGAGGCGAGTCCGTAGCGGTCTGCCCAAAAACAACACGGACGGTGATTCTCCAGTCGTCGAATGCGGGGTATTCCGGTAAGCCAAAAGGAACTTTGCCATATTGGTTTTCAGCTGGGATGCACTTTGTTTCTCGCATTTCATAGCATGTTTGAAACTCTGAACAAAACGTTCCGCTTGACCGTTGGTTGCGGGGTGGAATGGGGCCGTGGTAATATGCTTGATACCATTAGTCTTCAAAAATAGTTGGAACTCGGCGGATGTAAATTGTGGCCCATTGTCGGTCACCACCTGTGCTGGCACTCCATATCGGGCAAAAATAGTTCGGAGTCGGTCAATGGTCTGCGTCGATGTGGTGGATGGCATTATTTCCACTTCAGGCCACTTCGAGTGTGCATCTACAATGATAAGGAACATTCGTCCTAGGAACGGCCCAGCGAAATCTAAATGGATTCTCTGCCAAGGTGTGGTTGGCCATTCCCAAGGGTGTAGTGGTACTTTGCCGGCTTCATTCTGTTGAAGTTGACAACCAGGGCAGCTCTTGGCTAGGTGCTCAATGTCCTTATCAATTTTGGGCCACCAGATGTAACTTCGCGCCAGAGACTTCATTTTAACAATACCGAGGTGACCTTCGTGAAGCTCGGTTAACACTTGATTACGCAACTTTGCAGGAATGACTGCTCTGTGTCCAAGCATTAGGACACCACAGTGAACTGTCAGTTCGTCTTTCCGCTGGTAAAACGGTTTAATCGCTTCATCTTGTGGAGTGGACCATCCTTTCATAACCAACTCATGGACCTTCGCCAATAGAGGATCTCTCTGTGTTTCTCGTTTGACCTGTTCTGCTGTGACTGGCAAAGGCTCAAACTGCGTGGCATAGAAGAGGCCCACTGGATCTGGCTCTTCTTCTGTTGTCTCACTATGCAAGGGTAATCGAGACAAACCATCCGCATTCCCATGTAACTTAGTGTTCTTGTATCTAATTGTATAGCCAAAACCCGCCAAGAACAAAGCGTAGCGTTGTAATCTAGCAGCAGTGACAACAGGAAGGCTTTTGCTGGGATGAAAGATTGAAGTGAGAGGCTCATGATCAGTCAGTAAGGTAAAGTTCCTACCGAAAAGGTAATTGTGGAATTTCTTGACTCCCCACACTGTAGCCAGTGCTTCTTTATCTATCTGTGCGTAGTTGCGCTCCGCCTTCGACAGGGATCTCGATGCAAACGCTATCGGGCGCTCTGTGCCGTCTGTCATGACATGGGACAGTACCGCTCCAATTCCTATAGGTGAAGCATCACAAGCCAGTTGTAAGGGAAGGTTAGGATCATAATGTGTAAGCACCAGATCTGAAACAATCATTGCTTTAACTTTGCAAAAGGCTTCTTCGCATTGATCTGTCCAGTT